TGGTCTTTCACTGAAAGAAAATCTCAGTGTATCACGAATCATAGAAACACTGAGGAAAATGTATGTCTCCCTGAAAGAGTACTGGGAGAACATAACAGAAATTTGCATTTTCTTCAAGAATCAATTAGATAATTAGCATTAATTTTCCAGGTAAATCTATTGCTGTATGTGGCTTACAAGCTAAAGTGGTCAGTTGCAAAACTTTTTATTTACCTCTTTCACATGCTAGTCTGACTATTGGTTGTTATTGTTTTTTTTTTTTTTGAGAACTCCTCAGTTTTCCCATCTATAAAATGGAGATTATATTGGTTTTCAATTGCTGTATTACAAATTAAGCAATTTGAAGCAACACCTATTTTCTCAGAGTTCTTTATTTAAGTCAGCAGTTCAGAGCTGGCATGACTGGTTTGTCTGCTGAGGTCTCTCAAAGTGGAAATCAGGGTGATACCTGTGGTTTGAGGTTTTCTTACCTGCACAGAATTTTGAATTACAGCATTATAAGGACCCTAGAAACATGATGAAATATGTTGCTCCTTATTTGAATACCCCACAGAAAACAGAAACACCAGGACCATAGTCAACAAACCCATGAAAATTTTTACCTTATTTGCTGGAAATTGATCAATTAGTTTAAATTATTTAAAAACTCTGCAGTTATATTTTTAAAAAAACAGAAAGAAAGAAAAGAAGAAGAGGAGGAGGAGGACCAGGGTATCATTCCTGTTGCAATTCAAGCCCACCTATAATGTGGTATAAAATGAAATATGGTCTCTATATTGTTCTTTTTTCCCCTTTTCTTTCTTTCTTTCTTTTTTTTTTAACTTTTTAATAAGAAAAATGCATCACAGAGGTTATACCTTAAATACTGATTTTCCAAAAAGAATTCTTTTGTTTCTACCCATGCTCTGAATATAAAACAAATACTTCAAATGCTCCATTCATATAAAGGCCTTTATGCCCCTTTCTCCCTCCTGACAGATCCAGTCTTGAAGAGGTAATATTATGCAACTTGCTGATGCAGCTTCAACAGGAAACACTTCTCACAGGCTGTGGGAAGAAAGACACCTAAGGGGTTAACTGTAATATTTTGCAAATTGAGGCAATTGGAGAAAAATACATTAGCATAAGAAAAGGTAGCCTTAGGGGGATTTTTCCACTCAAATGTTTGGTACTGAGAGTTCTATGTTACCAAGGAGGAGGCTAGAGAAGAAAACCCTAGTGTCTACAAATTCTCCAAATGCACAGCCACTGTATTCATCGTATTGGTGAGAAAGACCCAGGGTTATAGAGATGGAAAAAGGGTTCTTTCTAGTAAAGAGAGCTAAAATTGGATATACTAAGAAAAGCATCCTGGTGTATGATAATAACGCAAGAGGATTCCACAGGGATCAATTCTCAAAAGATTTCCTAAACATGTCAGGACTAGACAAGTGGTTTGAGATTAACAGTGAACATCTTAAGCAACAATTTTGATATTTAACTAAAATGCACCTCAAATGTCTGCAATTAATTAACTCAAATTTAACAGATTTTTCTCATTTCAGAAGTTGTGTCTAACTCACAGTATTTGAGTGTAGTGTTTTCCTTTTAGTAATGCCTATACTAATTTAAATATTGCTTTGTAGAAAGTATCCAATTTGGAGCTATAATATTTTTGTTAGTTGAAAATATTCAAAACAGGTATGAAAGGTTTACATTAATTTCCTTAAAATTAGTTAACTGCAAATTAGTTAACTGTTTCTGTGAATATGTTAAATTTTTATTAATTTATATTATATTTTTGTGGTGCTAGGGATTGAGCATGCTAGGCAAAACACTGAGCTACATCCCCAGATGAATTAGTTGTAATTTTATTTTATTTAAAAAATTTTTTTAAATCGTTGATAGATAGTTATTTAATTTATTTATTTATATGTGGTGCTGAGAATTGTACCCAGTGCCTCACACATGCCAGGCAAGCACGCTACCGCTGAGCCACAGCCCCAGCCCTATAATTTTATTTTTAATTAATTTCTTTATTGGTACTGGAATGAACCCAGGGGTGCTTTACCATTGAGCTACAACCCCAGTTCCTTTTATTTTTTATTTTGAGACAGGGTCTCACTAAGTTGCTTAGGGCCTTACTAAATTGCTGAGACTGGCTTTGAATTCATGACCCTCCTGCCTCCAGCCTCCCAAGACACTGTTATTTTTGAATTTTTATATATTTGTTTTTTTAGTGTTGGGGATTCAACCCAGGGCCTCACACGTGCTAGGCAAGTGCTCTACCACTGAACTATATTCCCAGGCCTGAATTCATTTTTTATTTTATTCTTTATTATAATTACTAATACATAGTCATTGTACAAATTAATATTTCAAAGTGATATTTCCATACATCCATATATTATCCTTTGATCATATCCACTTCCCTCTTCCTTTTCCCCTCCCATCTCCCTCCCCACTTCCGCTTCCCTAATAGTCCCTTGTCTACTTTCAGGGCATTATTTCCTGGTTTCCATGTATGAGAGAGAATATTTGATACTTTTCTTTCTGTGTCTGGCTTATTTCATGTCACATGATGACTTCTAGTTCCATCCATTTTCCTGCAAATCACATGATTTTGTCCTTCTTTATTGCTAATAATACTCCAGTGCATGTATATGGCATTTTGTTTATCCATTTATCTGTTGATGGGCACCTAGGCTGATTCCATAACCTGACCATTGGAACCAGTGCTGCAATGACCATGAAGGTACAGGTATCTCTTTTGTTTGCAGACTTCATTTCCTTTATACCAAGGAGTGGGATTGCTGGATCTTATGGTAGTTCTATTTTTATTTATTGAGGAACCTCCATACTGTTCTCCATAGTGGCTATTACTAGTTCACACTCCCACCAACAGTGTAAATGTCTCTTTTCCTCATATCTTCACCAGCCTTTGTTATTTTTTGTTTTTGATAATAGTCACTGAATTAGCCTTTTTATTTTTCTCAATATTTATTTATTTATTTTTCTTTCCACATTTTTAATTGGTGCCTTATAGTTATATATAATAATGGGATTTATTGTTACTTATTTATGAATACACACAGTATACTATAATTTGGCCAATATCACTCCCCAGCATTTCTCTCCTCCTTCTTCTTCTATCCTCATATCTCTTTCCTCTACTGATTTCCCTTTGATTTTCATTAGATCCCTGGATCCCCCACCTTTCCTCTGAATTAGTTTTTAAATCAGTCTTTTCCTATTCTTATAAATTGCTAAGCAGTAAAAAAAATTTTTTTTGATTTATTTGATTCTGAATTTCATTAGGTTTCACATCACAGTGAGCATGTCTGTCTAAATAAATCAAGATAGAAAAAGGGCAGGTTATTTTAGATCATCTAACTTTTCTGAAATTATCTACTGATATCTATAGGAAAGATGGGGGAAAAAAAGATGTTTTATTTTGTTTCTAAGAAAGCTCTTTTCTAAGAAGATGCACTTTTGGGTTATGAAAAAACTGGAAGTATGCTGGGTGTGGTGGACGTGGCCTGTAATCCCAGCAACTAGGGAGGCTGGGCAGGAGGATTGCAAGTTCAGGACCAGCCTCTACAACTTAGCAAGACCGGCTCAAAAAATAAAAAGGGTGGGGCTGTAGCTCAGGAGGAAAGCACCCCTGGGGTCAATCCTCAGTATGGAAAAAAATGGTGGGGGGCATAAATAGTTCAAGATCAAAAGTTTTCCAAGTCCTGGAGATTTTTTGCGATGCTGATAATTAAATTATGTAGAAGTTAATGGATATGGTCCATTTTCAGGGAATCCTGTCAAGAATTGATTGAAGAAACAAAGTTACACCATGATCTTTCCATTATATGCAGATTGTTACTTTCACATTTTCTATGGAGCAGTGGGGGCAACCCTGCATTCAAATCTTGTTCCTTTTCTGTGTGGACATTCTAGAGATCAAGTTTCAGGTCTTTAACCTGGAGAAGGTAACATAAAGAAACAATTCAACTGGGCACTGTGGTGCACACCTATAATCCCAGTAGCACAGGAGGCTGAGGCAGGAAGATCATGAATTCAAAGTCAGCCTCAGCAATTTAGTGAGACCCTGAGCAACTCAGTGAAACCCTGTCTCTAAATAAAACGTAAGAAGGACTGGGGATGTGGCTCGGTGGTTAAGTGCCTCTGCAGTCAATAAGCAAAATCTTTCTAAACCAAAGCTTAAGGGAAAAGGAAGAAATAAAAGGGAAGAGAAAAACAAACGAAAACTAGTAGCCGGTCCTTCCTTTGATGATAACATTTTCATAATCTGACTTGCTACTTTTGGGGATGTTACAAATCTGGCATCTTATATCAATGTAAATAAAGATGCAATCTAAAACTGAAGTGAATTACTCTTTGATAATTTTTATCATAGTTTCCCAGCCCCTTTATGGAAAACTGAGAAATGAGTATAGACTCATACCCTTTTCAACATAAATCTGACACCCTTATTTCCCATATTTATTTCCAAGATATGCCATCCACTGGATGGATCCTGGGGAGGAGGAGCTGGTCCATAGAAGTCATTCATTCAGTAATGAAAGATCATTTCAGTACACATGGGAGAATATGGGAAATATTTTTTAATGTGGAAAGTGGTACCAAGTTCCCAAATATTCTGTCAGTACTCTATTATATGCTTTCTGAAGGGTGTTTCCAGATCTACCCCTGACCAAAGGTGTCTAAGATCCAGCACTTTCTTATTTTATTGCCACCACATTTTTAAATTCTAGGGCAAGAAGGTAAAGAGAAGAATGCTAGACTGTTATGGTCTAAATGACGAATAGTAGTTTAGAATGCCTGCTTGTTCATGGAGTTATAAAGATATCAAGGAGCTTGAAAGCCAGGGACTTGACCCTCCTTGTCTGCAACACCCTCCTTTCACAGATAGGGAAATTAAATCACATTGGATCATATTTATTTTACTTCTTATACTTCTTATGTTGGTACCTTGGACTGATGGTACATTTGTTTTCTTCCTTTTACAGCGTGGAGAACTAACACTTGAAGCTATTAATAAAGTAAACCATAGATATCAAAACCCATGGTAAGTATCTCTCTCTCTCTAAATGTATATATTTATAAATATATATATACATATGTGTGTGTGTATTTTTTGGGGGGGTTGGTGCTAGGGATTGAACTCAGGACCTCATGCATGCTAGGTAATACTGAGCTACATCTCTAGCCCTCCAAATCTGTTTTAAATTAATGAGTTTCCTTCCTAAATTAGTAGCAGTTTTTTTTTCAACTTCTGAAAATATACTGCCACTTTATTTCTTTTTATTTCACATAGATTAGAGGGTTAAGATTATAAGCTTTATTCCTACTAGATAAGATAAACTTTCACTATCACCAGGTTTAATTAAGGGAAGGAAGGAGTAAAGCAAGCATTCGAAAAAGAAACTGTCAGAATACAATAAAGATACGCAAACCTGCAGCTCTTAAGAACAGCAACTCAATGACCAGGTTAGCTGCAGCTTATAATGGGGAAACTATTAACTTTTTTGGTTAAAAAATTCATTTCATGCTGTTGGCCTAGAAACCATAATAGAAGGTAACCTTGGTTAATAAACATAATCCTATTGAAGTCACATGAAGACTTGAATTCATGCTGTCTTAAGGTAATGTCGAACCAAAATAAAACATGTCCAGCTCAAGGCATGGTAAATTAACGGGAAAAGAGCAAAAAGCTGGGCTTGTCAATTAGATGGAACATAAAATTCAGATTCTAAGAGGGATCAATCAGCATTGCTCTTACTAGACTGCAGATTGAATATTGTCACTATTATTATAGGTTTGAGGAGGTAAAGGTTTCCGGGGTCTACTTTACCTCATTTTTAAATTTTGAAGGATACAGTTCAGTTATTTAGCATGTGCAAAATTATTGTACTTTAGTCCCTTTCTGCTGTACTCCAACAACATAAACTGCACAGAATAAAGACAAGACTTCAAATTTCACGTCAATAGCCTATTACAAGTCAGGCAGGGTAGATACTCCTGTTAAGACCAACCACTAAGAAGGCTGAGGCAGGAACATAGTGAGTTCAAGGCTGACCTCAGAAATTTAGTGAGATTCTGTTTCAAAACAAAAAATAAAAAGGGCTGGAATCCCAGTGACTTAGGAGGCTGAGGCAGGAGAATCGCAAGTTTAAACCCAGCCTTAGCAACTTAGTGAGGCCCTAAGCAACTGAGTGAGGCCCTAAGCAACTTAGCGAGACCCTGTCTCTATAAAATATAATAAATGGTTGAAGATGTAGCTCAATGGTTAAGGGCCCCTGGGTTCAATCTCTAGCATTCCCCCGGCCCCAGCAAAAAAAGGACTGGAGAGGTAGCTCAATGGTAAATAGACCCTGAGTTCAACCCCCAGTACCACAAAAACAAAATGAACAAACAGCCTATCAGGTACTAATTCCAGAATAATAAGAGGTTCCACTGGGCAATTCATGTAACTTGTTAAGCATATTCCAAATATAAAGCTAAATAGAATAGTTAAACTTTATTGTATGAAAAGCACGTTCTCACTAAAATATTCTACTTTGTTTAAATGAGATTGTTGGTATCTACTGAAAATACCCTATCAAATATTTTCAAGCAAAGAAAAGCATTAAAAATCACTAGAAATCAAGGAAATTATAACAAGTGTTGGTGATAAAAGTGTGAAAATTTGATACATTTATTTAAATATTAAAAAATTGGTCGGGAAGTATTTGAGAAACATTGAAGCTTTGAATATTTTCTCTGGATAAAAGAATATTGGTGTGGGCTGGGGATGTGGCTCAAGCGGTAGCGCGCTCTCCTGGCATGCGTGCAGCCCGAGTTCGATCCTCAGCACCGCATACAAACAAAGATGTGTGTCTGCCGAAAACTAAAAAATAAATATTTAAAAAATCTCTCTCTCTCTCTCTTTTAAAAAAAAGAATATTGGTGAATACTCATTTCTGGGACTATGCTGTGAATTATACCAGCTCATGAGGATAAAAAATGCTTATGAAAAAGTACTTGTACTCAGGGAACTATAGATTTAAGTTGGGAAATTGGATTTAAGTAAAAGAAGAAAAACAGCAAAATCAATTTGTATGTTGAATAGTGTGTTAGCTTTCTATTACTATCACAAATACCTGAGATTATCAGCTTATCTTGGTTCATAGTTCTAGAGGCTCCAGAACATGATCAGTTGGTCCTGTGCATCATGGCGGGGAGTATGTGGTAGAATAAAGTCATGTACCTCATGGCCAGGATGTGAAAAAAGGAAGAAGGGACTGGGTCCGAAACCCTCTTCAGTCCATGCCCCTGATGACCAGAGACATCCCACTAGGCTCCATCTTTTTTGTTTTTGGTACTAGGGATCAAACCCAGAGTCTTGCCCATGCTAAGCCTGCACTCTATCCCTGAGCTGCACCCCACGCCTGTGCTCTACCTCTGAAAGGCATCCCGGGCTGAGGACCACAGCTTTAACTTGAGGGCCTTTATGGGACACTTACCCAAACTATAGCAAATTCCAAATTAATAATGAGGACAATAAGCTATAGCTAGAAAAACTTAATTAAAAAAAATGTTAACACTCCCACCCCAGACTCTGGTAGGTATCCTATTTCTAAGAAGTCAGACACTGCTTTTCTCTTGAGACTCTAAACACCCGTGCCTTTGGAAGGCTTTCTGCCCATTCTGGGCTGGCAAGACACTTTTGAATAGGTCGCTAGCTCTGTAGGCTCAGGTGTGCCCCACCCCTTGTGTTCTCTCAGTTGGATTGAGGCCAGGACAGTGTTTGTCCTCCCAGCCAGTGTTCATGCTCAGTTCTCAGTCAGCAGCATTTACTCAGTTAATTCAGCACCGCCTTTGTTGAAAACACTGCTAGAATCTATAGTCACAATGTTGAACAAGCCAGGTTCAGCACACACCCTTCTTGGAACTTGTATTCTAGGGGAGGGGAGACACATTAAATCAACTTGCAGCTTCTAAAAATATATATGTATATATGTTCTTAATAACTTTGTGTGTGTGTGTGTGTGTAGCCAGGGACTGAGGGTGCTTTTTAATTTTTTAAATTATAACTATAATTTTTGCTTGTGGCAACAAATTCAATAGTACAGAGATAGATTAAGAAAAGGTTAATAGTCTACCCCAGTTCATCCAGTTCAGGATAAAACAGTTCAGTACAAAAAGTATTTATTGGATGTAAAGAGATTTTCCTGGTGAACCAACCTTGGCTGAGGATTGGAGAAGTGTTCTCTGAGGAAGTGAACTGGTATTTGCTTTGGATTAAGCTATGCTTTACTTAACCCAAGCAGACTTTCCAGTATGCTTATCTTGTTATGGCTTATCTCCTCTTATACGTTAGTTTATGTAAATTATGAATTTGGCCTGTTATCAAGGTGATATTGAAAAGGTGAATGTAAGATCCACTCCTTAAAAAGAATGCTTACACACTGTTGGTGGCATTGTCTATGGAAATCAGTATGGAGTACCTCAGAAGACTAGGTATGGACCCACCATATGACCCAGGTATACCACTCCTCAATATTTATCCAAAACAATTAGAGTCAACATGGTATGCAAAACATGCATACCCATGAAAATAGCAGTTCAATCCACTATAGTCAAGTTATGGAACCAGCCTCAGTGTCTGTCAAAAGATGGGTGGATAAAGAAAATGTGGTATTTATACACAATGGGGTTCTACTCAGCTATAAAGAAGAAAGGGGTTCTACTCAGCCTACGTCATTTGTAGGACAGTGGATAGGACTGGAGAACATCATGCTAAGTAAAACAATTCAATCTTGGAAAGTCAAGGGTCATATGTTTTATTTCATGTGTGGAAGCTGATGGCGGAAGGGATCTATAAAAATAGAAGAGAGACCAGCAAAGTAGAAGAAGATTGGTGGTGGGGGAACAGAGGAAAGAAAAGGGAAATATTGAGAGTGAAAATGGCCAAATTATGTTAGGTGCAGATGTGAAGATATAACAATGAATCACACTGTGTGTGTGTGTGTGTGTGTGTGTGTGTAGATCACTTGTGGCAGTGGGAAGGATGTGAGCCAAGCCCTGAGGTGGGAAAATGGGACATCAGATTAGGCCCTGGGCTGCTGGTCTACGGAAAGCAACAGGGTGGGTGGTGAGATAAAGTCAGATTTTGCAGAACTTTGTGGACCAGTTTAGAGAATTTGGGTTTTACTCTGAAAGGAAAAAGAATTCACTGGAAGGCTTAAAATAGGAAGCAATGTGGTCCATTTTTTTTGTTGTTTGTTTTTGTTAAGATCACTCTGGACTGTTGGAGTGCTTATGGAGAATGGTGACAGAGGCAATTGTAGAAACTCTTTGATTTACACAGGTGTGTCTTGAGTTTTCAATGAGCTTTCAAAGGGGGAAGGGAGAGGATTTGAGTTGAGCTTTTAAAGAAAGATAGGCTTAAATAAATGAAGAAAGGAGGAGACAATGTTTATCATAATGATGGGGAATAAGCCTGTATGTGGACAGCAATCCAATGAAGCAGATTTAACATTATTTTGGTGTTTCAGGTAAAGAAATTGAATTTCAGAGGTGGCACACGACCAAGGATCGCTTGGCTAATATTTCAGTCGAAGGTGATTAATTGCATTGATCTCGGTTGGGATCTAGCCTTGGACATTTTTAGCAGAGCTCTCTAAGCAAATGGGATGTGCATCCAGAACTGAGAACCCCTAGTTAAGACTGAAAAAAGAAGGGGACTGAGCCTTGGGGTTGAGGAACTGAGCCTTGGTGGTGCTCAATTGTGCATAAGATAAATGGGAAACATTGAGAGAGGAAAAGGAGCTTAGAAGTAGGTCCCTTGAGACAACAGAGGGTGTAAGAGCCAGTGAAGAGTGAGGGGTTTTTATTTGTTTGTTTTTTTGGTACCAGGCCCTTTTTTGTATTTTTATTTAGAGACAGGGTCTCGCGCTAAGTTGCTGAGTCTGGCTTTGAACTCGTGATCCTCCTGCCTCAGCCTCCCGAGCTGCTGGGCTTACAGGGAGGCTTACACAGTTTTTAAGAGGTGTATTTAAGAGAAATCAAGGAAAACAATAGCAG